ATAGAAAATTATAAAAGATTCATGAATCACAGCTAAATTATTGCTTTTATTTTAGCGTTATACGATGGGTACGAATGGAATGGGAGAAGGATTGAAGTCCGTGAGGTGGGACGTTGTTTGGTTATGTTGTATTTGGGTTTATTATTGGGTGGTAATAGAAGGAAGGTGGTGAGAGAGGAAAAAAGAAGGCAAATTGGTGGTGGGAAGTTAATCACAATAATTCATGGTTTATACATCAAGTATTGGACCATGTGTATGAGGTTGCTGATGTAGTAAGGGGATGCCGATATAGAGAATTTGAAGGAAAAGAAAGGTTGAGATAAAAGAAAGGATTGATAGACATATATATAAAATATATATTATATTTGAGATGGTGGGTTTTCTTTACACGAACTTCACATTTCCACATTCACGCAGGATCGTTTTGCTGGAGGACCACCACCACCCAGATTTGCCGGGCGTCCAAATTCTCGTCCGTTTACCGCATCATCTTTTGGCACCGCTGGATCAAACAGTGGATTCTATGGACCAGCAACGGCGGCAAACACGCAACCAGGTGGTGGATTCGGAACCAATTTTTCATCGTCGAATTTAAACGTGGCTGCTTCTGCAGCCGCAGTTGCTACATCAGAACAGTATGATGGTTATGGTGGCGGAAATGCTGGATATAATGACTTCGGCTCAGGTGTCGCAATGATGGATTACTCAACCAGTGGATATAATGCGGGATACGGCGGTCCGTTTGGTGGCGGTGCTGCTGCTGCTACCGCCGGTTATGATGCATCTGCTACCGGATATTACGGAGGTCCGGCGAATGGTAATGGATCACAAATATTTGTCAGAAATGTAAGGTTTTTTTGGATGGATGGTTTGTTGTTGCTATTGTTGAAATGGTTTTTGGATTTCTCTTTTTGGGATGGAAGGAAATTACGAACGCTTTTTATTTGTCTTATGCCTTTCTATTTATAGCTAGTTTTTATGTCAATTTTTGGTTTTCCATTTTTTTTTTTTAGTATTTCTTAGATCTTTTTATTGTATCAAATATGAGGGTGGGAAAAAGATTAGCTCGCTGGGACATAAATAATGGCAAAAAAATCCGACCGTGTGCACATTTCATTCGTACCCATCGTATAACGCTAAAATAAAAGCAATAATTTAGCTGTGATTCATGAATCTTTTATAATTTTCTAT